GCCCCCAGTTTATTGTTCAGTAAAGACACAATAAAAACAGACTCACGTGATTAAAGGAGATTTCTTTAAGTGTCTCTGGGCCTTTGTCCAACTTTTGATGGAGTGGGTCTAGGACCTTGAACATTCCTTGAACATTGTGCTCACCAAAGTACATCCTACAAGTCATACAAAATTACAAATGTCATCCACTTTAAAAATCATGTTATGATAAACCAAGAGTTCCCACAGTATTTGACATAGGCTTCTAGCAAGCATATACATGTACATGTAGTGGCAGCTGTTTATTTGCTAAATTTTGTCAAATTGAAAAGTAGAGAATTTTCCATTTTTATAATTTTATCTGATACATATATATGTTCTTATGTTGTGTAGAAAGTTTGAACTGATTCCAATCAAAATTAGATTTTTTATGAATTTTTAAAGTTGCTCCAAAATCAGGTAAAAGTCCCTGTACTGTAGTACAGTGATTTTGGCCAAATTTCGTCAAAAATGAAAAGAAGAGAATTTTTCATTTTTGTAATTTTTTCTGATACATATACATGTTATTATGTTGCGTAGAAAGTTTAAACTGATTTCAATCAAAATTAGATTTTTTACAAATTTTTGAAGTTGCTCCAAAATCGGGTAAAGCCCTGTACTGTAGTACAGTGACTTTGGCCAAATTTTATCAAAAATGCAAAGCAAAAAATTTTCCATTTTTATAACTTTATCTGATACATATACATGTTCTTATGTTGTGTAGAAAGTTTGAGCTGATTCCGATCAAGTTTAATTTTTTCATAAATTTTTAAAGTTGCTGAAAAATTGGCCCAAAGTCCTGTACATATGGACTTTAATTTATTATTGTACATGTACATGTATGTACATTCATAAGTCAAAAAATACATTATTATTCCAATACCTTGAGGCATCCTCTAATGTCTCGTGCCACTGCTCATGCCAGAGTATAGCCACTCTTATCAGCTCCTCTGATACCATCACTGCTTGTTGAACCAGATCAGAGCTGTGCTCACGCATGTTACTCAGTATCATGTCAGCAGCATCACGTCTCACTGTGCTCTGACTCTTAGCAGCTACTGTCAATGGGTAGATTAGAGCCTGCACAATAAGAATAAAATACAAAACATTCAAAATACCTTTCGATAATAATAATTTTATATTTAACTTTTATTTAACTTTTATAATTACATGTACATTATTGTCAGAAAAGTTAAGTCTTACAAATTTACTAAAAATTATTTTAAAAAAATACTAAACAACAGCACATGTACATGTACATATACATGTACACTACATGTACATTACATGTATATGTACACTACATGTACATATACATGTAGTGTACATTTACATGTACAGTATATGTACATGTACACTGACCTGAGGATGGTGTCGTCCTACATCAGTGAGTAGCTCATGAATCAGTTTGGAGACCAGTCTACGAGGTGAGTCTATACGAGCTATCAACTGGGGAATGACCTACAGAAATTAGTACATTAATTCATGTACATGTACATACATGTGTATATCAATAGAATTACATGTACATGTACATAAACATGTGTAACACACAATCCAGTGCTGACCAAAATGGGTAAAATAAAATATAAAAAGATGTAGCACTTAATTTTAGCATTTTTGACCCATTAGAGAGTAGGCTCTTCTTTTATATAGTGTATTCCCTTAATGTAGCAATTATTAGTAATTTGTGAACTACATTAGCTAATTTAGCATTAAATAAGGTCCTTAGCTGAAATTAGTGTAACTCGAAACAAATACAGCGACACAGTTTGTTCTTGCATAAATGCAAACTTGAGCTTGTTTATACAAATACATGTGTACATGTACATAACGAAGAGACAACAAACCTGGAGCCAGTTTTCAATATCCACTGTTTTGATTCCTTCCTCAAGAGCTTCATGAACCTCAGAGATGTGACCATAGTCAAACCACAAAGTCAGTAGCCTGTTGGTGCCAAAAAATAATATAATAAAATAAAAATATTTTTTCAGCCTAAACAGAGAGCAATTTTTGCTATTTTTTAGCACAAGAAATTGGCAGAAAATAACTCAAAGAAAATGACAGTATAGTTTAATTAATGAATATTTTCTAGCTTAAAAATAATGTATTTTCTAGCCTTAACAAAGAGCTTTTTTGGCACAAGAAATTGGCAGAAAATAAGTCAAGAAAAATGTTACATATTGAGTGCATAGTCTTGCACGTGTAGTCATTGTTCAGTTTCACACTAAATGAGGTGCAATGTACACAAACATGGAATGGATGAGTAGTTGTTATTCAAATTCTATTTCTTATTTCTATTTCAAGTTCATTAAGAGGTGATGGAATGCCAGCAAATTGTCACTGTAATAAGTTTGTCCTGGAGCTTAATGCATGTAAGTAACTTATTAACCTCCTAACAGTTGTTTATTGATTTCCTTCGCAAGTACATGTACAGCATGTTGCAAGTTACATGTACATGTATTCATGAAGCAATCTCAATAGTCAAGCAGACTGAATGGTATAATAAGTTAATTGTTTAGGAGGTTAATAAGTAACTTATTAACCTCCTGGTAATTTACTTATCAATTTCCTTAGCAAGTACATGTACATGTACAGCATGTGAGTTAATTACTGTATAGCCACAACAAAGTTTGAAGCAATAAACTTGAGCAAATCAGGACACAAGTCTTTTTAAGCAAATTCATTTCCGTGCTTAAAGGTGGGTTCTCAATATGACGCATTGCTTTTCATGCGCTAGCGT